TAACCGTATTTTTATGCAATTTCTGACATTTTGATACCCATATAGACCTAGTTTGGTGAGATTCTGAATTTTGACGTATTCTGAATTCGGAATCCAAAAATTGTCAAACTAGGTCAATATGGGTATCAAAATGTCGGGAATCGCATGAGAAAGACGGTTAACGATGTGAAAATTTCCGAAAATTGCGTTTCTGGAAATCCAGAATACGTCAAATTTTTTTGAAAAAAAATTCTGGAAATTTAATTTTCCAGAATTATCCAAAACTATTCAAATTCCGAAAAGATGATTGCTCACCTTCTTCCCATCATTCCACCGTATACCGTATAACTCGTCGCAACTGTTGTTGTTGTTGCTGGTGCTGACGACTTGAGCAGCAAGTCAGCTGCTCCGCGCAGCGCTCGGAGCATCTGTGCGTTCATGCATAAATAATTAGGAGCACGCATGAGCAATTAATTAACTAATCAATTAATGCATTGAATTCGAAAAAAAAATCGAAATTAGAATGAAAAATCGGTAAGAATCTGAGGCAATAAAAAACCTCGAACATATGAAATTTTGAAAAAAAAAACTGAAAATTCAAAAAAAATTTTTTTTTTGAAAAGAATAAAATTAAAGCTGAGCAGTCCAGAGATTTTTTTAGGTGAATTTTAGAAAATCCAAAAAATCCGAAAATTCCGAAAAACCTATTTTTAACAATAAAAATGCATAGAATAGAGACCGGTAAGGTTGGAAAAAAGAGCAAAAAACGGGTAAAAATCGATGGAATGAGCGAAAAAAATATATCTATGGTACTATAACGTCCTCCAAGGAGGACGTTATAGTACCATAGATATATGGGTGAAAAATAGGCCATAATAGGTCGAGAATTACAGTAAAAGAGGGGGTGAAAATTGGTGAAAAAACATAGAAAAATATCCAAAAATCTGAAAAAATTGGCTCAAAAAATCGATTTTTCGCGCAATTTTACTTTTTCGATTTTTTCTCAAAAAACTTCGACGTCTTCTGAATTCCCAGAAACGCAAATTTCTGAAATTTTCACATCGTTAACCGTCTTTCTCATGCGATTCCCGACATTTTGATACCCAAATTGCCCTAGTTTGATGAGATTCTAATTTTGGACGACTTCTGAATCCTGAATTCGAAAACTTTCGAAATAGGGCAATATGGGTATCAAAATGTCGGAAATTGCATGAGAAAGAGGGTTAACGAAGTGAAAATTTCAGAAAGTTGCGTTTCCGGAATTCAGAAGATGTACAATTAAATTCTTTTTTCAAACACTCCAACGTCTTCTGAATTCCGAAAACGCATCTTTCTGAAATTTTCACTTGGTAACCTCTCTTTCTCATGCGATTCCCGACATTTTGATACCCATATTGCCCTAGTTTGAGAATTTTCGGATTCAGAATCCAGAAGACGTCAAAAATCAGAATCTCACCAAACTAGGTCAATATGGGTATCAAAATGTCGGAAATCGCACGAGAAAGACGGTTAACGATGTGAAAATTTCAGAAAGTTGCGTTTTCGGATTTCAGAAGACGTTTTTGAGTCAATTTCCAGCTATTTTCAGCCAATTTTCCCTCAATTTCTTCGTGGAATTTCTTCTTCTTTGACTTCTAGTAATTCATCGGCTGGAAGAGGACGGGGAGGAGGAGCAGGAGGAGCTGGATTATTCTCTCGAAATGCTCCAATATCTCTGAACGATGACAGCGTGTCCAGATTCTCGACAAAGTGCGTGTGCGGTTGACCAACGGTTTGATCCAGACGAGCTAGCCTGAAAGAGACACAGTTTTAATAGGCGGAAAAATTTGAAAATTCAAAAAAAAACTCAAAATTTGGAAATTCTGAAATTTCGGAAATTTTTAGAAAAGTTTCAAAAATTCTAAAATTGGGAAAATTTTCAAAACTTAGACGTTTCTGGCGATTTCTTAACAAGGAAGGGAAAATTGAAAATTCATGGAAAATGGGGTATGATGGTCCGTCCCTCATTTTGTATTCATAGAAATATTTTGGGCTAAAAATAGGGGAAAACCTGTATTAGAAGGACTCCAATAATAGAAGAACGCCTCTAATGGAAGGTCCCTCCGAGAGGGGCGGCTTGGAAATATAGTAGGGCCCATGAATTCCGAAATCTCAATTTTCTGAAATTTTCACATCGTTAACCGTCTTTCTCGTGCGATTTCCGACATTTTGATACCC